AACAATCGTAGAAAACTATTAGTATTAAATATGTAAATTTTCAGAGACCTTAATGTGAATATATGCTATAATCGTACGAATATTAAATTCAGCTCCTTTGATGATTTTAACAACCTAAATGTATTTTCAAGTACTAGGCTCTTTTTCAGAACGTTTTTAAGAATATTTTCCTTACATTATAAGGTATTTATCCCGCCTTCTTAGCATGCCTTTGTGGTGTAATGGTCAACATATTCGACGCGTATTCGGGAGGTCCGTGGTTCGAGTCCCACACGAGAGCATTGCTGAATTTTCATGTCTCCTACTTCCAAATAGCCTAATGTTCCTACAACATGATTAAACTCTTAGCACTCACACGAAATATATTAAAATTTAGGATTTCCTTCTTTGCTGAAAGTCTGAACATCATCCATACAAAAAGAATAATTTTAAGCTAATTAAACATTACCCATATAAAATGAAGACTTTTAAGGAGATTAAACAAAATCTACTCAACGGAATGTCTCTAAAAATAATGAAATAAATTATTTTGAAACTTATGTGATACAAAACACAGTAAAAGCGATTAATTGTCGTACTCTAATACATATTTTGGATTTATTTAAGAATATGTTAATTTTTAATGGTATGTAGACTATTTTGTGTATTAACAATTAATCCACCGAGTTTAAGTAATGATTAATCTGGTGTGAACTCTAAACTGCGAATTTTATATTCTGCGAAAATTAACAGCAATAATTTACTTTTTTAAACTTTCGTAATAAAATTAGATTAAGAGCATGATTAGAAGTACCTTTTAATTAAATTAGAGGTACCTTTAAAAAAAGAATTTCATTTATATTTCTTTTGAAATGCTAGTGAATTATGACAGGCTTCATTTCATTTCAAAAAGTTTTTTGACGACTTCAAGGGACAGAAAATAGTTTAATTGGCTTTCTTCTAATCCTTTTTAAAGGAAATTTTAATGAGCAAAAAGAGAAAAAAATCCAACTGCAATGGCCGGGAAATGTTTTGCAACGAAATATAGTTGAATTCCGCTATAACAAACCCGATTTATAGCGCAGCCCTGGATATAAAGAGCGAACCTTTTAAGTTTCGTCCAATATCTTATTCACTTAATGTTATTTTATATTGCTATAACGAATCTCCAAAGGTATGAAAATCGGATATAAAAGAACTGCGTATTTTCGATTGAAACTTCTTTGTTATTTTCTTATTTTGCCAGAATTTTTGAAACTTTTAACTAAAAATTGCTAACCGTTAAAATTATCCATGTTTAGTATGTTAGAATCCACATTCGTCATTCCAAGCGTAGAGGAAAACACCATTGGATTACTTTTCTTTTACGTTCAACCCCACTTTTCTTAGTGTTCTTCGTTAAGGATATGCGAAACACGTATGAAATACAATCTAGGAGAACGATGACAAAATAAGCATATCTTAGGATACCATATGGCGCTTTTTGTATTTGATATATGTGACTTTTAAACCAAGGAACGTAAATAGGTTCTCTGATACAGTTCATATTCTTTGATTGGGTTATTAGACAGAGCTGTGTTCAAGGCTGATACTGTGAAGGAAATTTTAACTATCCGTGAAAGAAGAAATAGTGAATCTTATTAATGTAGGCTATACAGTGTATTAATGTGTTTATAGTTTATTGCTAATGTGGGCTAGACAGTTATAGGGAATGAAAGTTTATTTTATTCTTATCGGTTTGCATTGTTTACGTATAAACTGTATTGAAATTCTATTCTCGGAATGGCGGTTTTGCGTTCTTTATGTCTTTTTCAAGTCAAAATATTCTTTACGAAAGTTATTGAATCTTTGCTTTGCAACTAGACGTTTCTTACGTTAATTTCTCAATGTTTTTCATTATTCATTTCATATAGAGACACTGATTCCTTTATTTTTTAGGTTAAAGTAATTATTCATAGATATAAATGTAGTACTGTATTGTGGGAGCTAGAAATACAGTTTCTTTATATCGGACAACACGTTTAATTTCATTAAAACACATAGTGTCTCACAAAAGTGATGGGACACTTGTGCTTTACAAAAGGAAACTGTAATAAAATAAATTAAAAAACATATAAAATTTTTTTGTGGGTGTGTTTCATACTTAAATTTAGAAACAATTATTACATAACATACATTTTCTCAAAATATTAAAATATTAATTTAATAAAAATACAATTGTTTAGAACGGAGCAAAAAATGGCTCACATAAGTGATGGGTCACCATTAGATACTACTACGTACTACAATAAAAATATTTTTTGGAGTTTTTATTCTTACTCAAAAGCAATTAGCAATAATTTATAAAATCGTCTGCAGTCTTTCTCTCTAGTTTGTTTTGGAATTTTTGTGTTTTTTAGCTCTGTGCAGCCATGAATGCTAAACGAAGAGAAACTTTGCTTTAAATTCGAAAATTAGTTATTAATTTGCATATTGAACGTGAAAAATCTATTAGAGAAACTGCTGAAACGGATAACATGAGTCATTCAACAGTTTTCAATATCATTAAATGATATAAAAAGAATCATATGATTCAGGATAAAAGAAGACCTGGCCGACCATCAAAGCTATCCAATGGAATAAAGCGAAATATTGTTCAAAATATTTAAAAAAATCGAAGAATGAGTGCTTCTAAAGTTGCTGCTGATTTACAAGCATTATATGGAGTAATTGTTAATCCTGAGACTATTAGAAGAGTAATTCGATTTGCTGGATATCACGGCAGAGCAGCCAGGAAAAAATTCTTCGTAAGTGAAAAGAATAGAAAACTCAGATTGGCTTTCGCAAAATCCAATATAAATAAGAACTCTGATTACTTGAATGAAGTTATATTTGCTGATGAGAGTAAATTTAATATATTTGGTTCTGACGGTAGAATCTTGGTGTAGAGAAAAACCAGGAAAGAATTTCGCAAACATAACTTGGTGCCAACAGTAAAACGTAGTGGAGGAGGAGTTATGGTATGGGGGTGTATGTCATCCGCTGGAGTTGGTAATCTTGTTTTTATTGACAGTATAATGGATCAGTACAAGTATATTGACATTTTAAATCAAAATTTGAAACCTTCAGCACGAAAAATGACCCTTCATAACGATTTTAAATTCTACAAGGACAATGACCCCAAGCACACTGCTTTGAACGTTAGACTCTGGCTGCTGTATAACTGTCCTGAAATAATAAAAACACCACCACAATCTTCAGACTTAAATCCCATAGAGAATACTTGGCAAGAATTGGAATCAAGAATTCGCAAACACACCATTTATTCAAAACAACAATTAAAATTATTGCTTCAAGGTAATGCTTCTGGTAAAATCACTCTAGAAATCACAAACAAATTAATCGAATCCATCCCAAGAAGATTAAATCACGTTTTAAAAGTAAAAGGAAATCCAACAAAATATTAAAACATTTTAAGAAGCAAAATTTTTGGATAAATATTTGATGGAAAAGTAAGTGTCTCATCACTTATGTGAGCCATTTTTTGCTCCGTTCTAAACAATTGTATTTTTATTAAATTACTATGTTAATATTTTGAGAAAATGTATGTTATGTAATAATTGTTACTAAATTTAAGTATGAAACACACCCACAAAAAATTTTTACATGTTTTTTAATTTATTTTACTACAGTTTCCTTTCGTAAAGTACAAGTGTCCCATCACTTTTGTGAGACACTGTACGTTCTTTTACGATTATAGAATACAATAAACGTAATTATTTTCTTTATGATCATATAATAGTCTTAAACGTCTTTATATTCATCATCGTCGTTGGTTCAAAATGTCTCCGAGACCAAGTGCCAAACGAAAATATTAAAGAGAATTACACGAGGTGCAGCTCAGCGCCATCTGGTGTTCAACGTTGGCACCATATAAATGTGTAATTCGATAGAAAGAATTTAAGGAATTACGATTTCTCGAATTCGAGAACTCAAGGATTAATTCGAAGATTTATATTATAATGTAATGTAATTATGGTTACTGATATTTATTCAATACTGTAGTTTATCATGTAAAATTATTAACGTATAACGCAGTAACTTTAATTAACGCTTAATATGAATTTTTGTTAACTTAGGTTTATTATTTTCTGTTTTTCATGAGGGTGACAATGTTAACCAGTTTCTTTTCTCTTGTTTTTCACTCAGGTTTTTACGGGATTTTGTGAGACAATCTATTTTTGTATCGAATCGGGATATTAGCAAACCACCGGATGGAGCGAACCAAGCTTTCGGTCCATTAAATTTTATAAGAGTTTGATTGCAGTTCAAAAAAATTAAAAAAATTATTTTCAATTTTTTACATGACATCATATTCTTATTACAGGAAAATATAATATATAAATATGTGAGAGAGTTTTGATTTCACTCTCCCATGTAAATATAATATTCGTGAAGTGTATTGTGTTAGTAATTTATGAATGACTATTTCTTTCTTTTAAATTTATACATTTTATGTAAATACTCTCGTATTTATATAAAAATATATTTATTCGCTCTTGGTAACTGAACAGAATAAACTACATTTAATTTCATGTAAATACGAAAACATCTGAAATGATAAGTTAATCTTTTCAGATGAAGTTAAAACAATAAATCCCAATTCCGCCTTAACTTCAGATTGAAACAGTCAGCCTACGACCTAAATCCGGAGTTCTTATTTATCACTTCGTAATGATGCCTGCATATTTTTCTTGGCATATGTTTTAAAGCCTAAAACAAAATAAAATATGAAGCACATACTCTTAAAGTTGGACCATGTGACACACATGCTGTTGTATCAAGTGAAAATTTGTTAAAATTTTCGAGACATAGCCTTCGACTCACACTGTTCGCTAAGCATTAAAGGGAGAATTAATTCCTTTATGTTTGCTTTTTTTAACTTGACTTTGAATTTTTATCCATAAATGAAGTAATTTATTTTAAATTCATTTCACCCTGTCTAAAGAATTAATAATTTTTTTATCTAATATTTACTGAAGGAGATGTGGATATTCCACCATGGCTGCACTCTAAACCGTCTATTAAATTTTACGATGCTCTTCATCTACCTGGCGTACTGGAGTACAGCGCCTGCCTCTTCTTTTCCCGAATGGCCGCCTATGTTTTCATTTTTTGGTTGCCCATCGTCATTGTTCATAGCAGAGCGATGAACATTTCTAGGAGTAGCTACTTTTCCATGGCGTACGTTATAGGAGGAACGTTTGGAGGTATATTGGCTGGCGTACTGAAGGATATTCTGAGACGGAGTGCTCTCATCTGTATTAGTTTTTTTCTTCTTTCCATACTTGTCATTCTTTTCAGGATTCTTTTCAGCGAAGTGGTGAGTCAAGATATGCTTGCTTTCAAGAAACACTTTATATGAGTTTTAAGATCTGTGATATAGATGTTATAATAAATATAAGTACAATCTTACTTTTTAGGGTTTTCGGAAAAGTGTCTTATTACCATATTTCAGGATGCAAGGCAATCATATTAAGAAATCATTTTAAATTCCTTCTCTTAATAAGGTGTTTGCAGAAGAAAATATTTTGAAAATTATTATTTTAACGTATCAGTGGCCTTTTTTAAACCTGAGAAATTTCAAGTTGATCATATTTGAATAGGATTTTTAAACTTAAATTAGCGGCCTACTTAATTTAATAGATCACAGAAATTGTTATTAAAAATATGCCTATTTAATTTATACTTTAATGCTGCAATACCGTTAGGTAGGTTACTTAAATTACTACTAGAATTTAAAATATTAAAATTTAACTTAAATGTTAGCACATAATCTTAAATTTAGAAGCTGAGCGGATTTACCTATTATAATATAGGACTGATGGTTACAGAAGTATTACACATACAATAATAAATGACAAGTGGAAAGAAGAAAAAAGTCACTATATTTTCCTCATACACAATAAGTATTTTTGGTTTGCCTTGGTCTCACAATAGCCAACTGATTAAAATTGGTAGTTCGACCCGGGTTCATACTTAGGAGAAAGAGCTGTTGCAATATTGGGTTTCGTAGTTTCCTCATGTGTAACGTGACTACGTGCCGCTTTTCTTTAAAGAGTTCTTCCCGAAGATATTCCTCCCCGTAGGCTGACAGCTATCGCGTGCATTGTCATATTTAAGTAATCTAGTCTCATCAGTATTTGCCTTACTGCTCACAGGACACGCATCTAAGCTATAATCAAATTCGATTCATACTTTTTGTACATTCCCTTATCAATAAATATCATAATCGCTCTGATTCGTTGCATAATTGCATCAGTGTGTTTTTAAATGAAGGTATCTCCAAAGCAGAAATTCCCAAACCTTTTGTTGCATCGACCCCTTTTGAAGAAATGTTTTCCTTCATTGATCCTTTTACATTTGTCTCTATAATCTGCAGAATCCAGTATAATCACAATACAAATAACTGTTCATAAGTAACTTGAAGATAACGATTAGACTAGGAAATATAAACAAAAGTTTTAAAGAACAGGATTTAATAGGTTTATGTTTTATTATTTTTGTATTTTTCTAATTTTATAAATATAAACAAGTTTTTAGAAATCACAAATCCTAATTGCACCAAAGACCGGTTTTAGTTAATGAGAGTGTTGCGCTTGATGTAATGATGCAATTCTTTTTATAATTAGCCTAAATTTGCTTTGTTTTCAAATCAATTCGTTCAAACATATTCAAACTGTTTCTTGATTTTCGTAGAAGGTTATTGAATAAAGATGCTTCTATCAGGTAAAAAGAGTGGGAAATCGATAATGTTAGTTCGATAACAATTTTTATATGATATAACTTGGGGATATTTATCTCAGATGACTTTTAAATTCCAAAACATTTAAATTCCAAAACCATATGTTTTGATTGAGACTTGTACTTGAACAAATCTTTTTCAATGCAATTAGATCTTCTTGGATTATAAAATCAAATTCAAATAAATCAGAGTTCTTTGGTTCTATCAGTCATGTTGGCACATTCAAATTTTTAATGCCTTGAAAGCGCATATTAAAATCTTCTTTTAAATTTTGCAAGTGGCCTGCGTGTAACAATAAATCTTCCGACGATATACAGGGTGTTTATAAAGTCCCGGACCCATTTTGATGTTTAATAACTGATAAAATAATGAAGATATAAACAAACTTATGGCATTTATTGATGGAATAACTTATATAGTTTCCTTTTCAGGTTTGTAAATATCGTCTGCGCGTGTGGATAATTTCAGATAATTTTATTTTCCAGTCTAAATATTTGTACTTTTCTAAATACCGTCTTCTTATTAATTTTATTTTTCTCTCTTTTGTTTTTGGCAACTATAGCAATGTTATAGAGACCTGAAAACCACCATGAATACCGTGAGGCACAAAGGGATTTCCCAAAGGTTAATGTGTGGTGTGGACTAATGCACGACCGAGTCATTAGGCCTTTCTTTTTTACAGAAAAAACGGTCTCATCAGTCGTATACTTAGACATGTTGGAAAACGTCGTATTTACCCAACTAGAAGAGTTTCAGCCACGTATCTTTTTGCAACAAGGTGGTGCACCATCTCATTGAGGTACCATCGTTCGTAGTTCTTTGAATGACTATTTTACAGGAAGATGGATTGGGCGAGGAGGTCCAATTCCTTGGCCACCCATATCACCTGATATAACGCCTCTGGACGTTTTCCTTTGGGGATTTGTAATGGACAACGTTTACAGGAGGAGAGTGTCGAACATTGATGACCTAAAAGCCAGAATTACAACCGCAATAGCCTCTGTGGATGCCAACATGCTTGCCGGTACCTGGCGTGAAATTGAATATCGACTTGATATTCTCCGTGCGACGAAAGGGGCACACGTGGAAGTTCATTGACAAGGGTCATGAAACTTTTTTGAGTCTATCTAATCATTTATGTTATTAATTGCAATCTGTCTTTATTATTTTATGAGTTATTAAACAAAAAAAGGGGTCCGGGACTTTATAAACACCCTGTATAATGAATTTCAACAAAGGACCATCACATTAAGTTTTCAAAGTAATGTAATGGAATTATTTTCGATTCTGTGCCGGTATAATTAAGTCAGGATTTTAAACGAAAACCAAAGATTCGTCAAGCTTCAATGAGATTGATGTCTCTTCTTTGCAGTTTGCTTTGTGTGGCACTGAACAATGAATATATACCAGCTTTATTTCAATAAACAATTAATTATCGATTTCACTAATATATATATATTTTTACCATTGGCTTCTTGATTACGCCGGTTAATTACTGGGTCATAATCGGCTATCAACCCTAATTCGACCCTTTCATCATCACTGATCTTTTTTAAAATTCATCAACCCCCCCAGGGGGATCAAAATGAATCCCGTTAAAAACCCTTGTTCCAAAGGAAGAAGTTACATACCGTTAACTCAGAAAACCATGTGAAAGGGCATGCGAATAGAGCTAAGTCACTCTTACTAGAAATCTAAGCTCATGCTCTGCAATGAATGTTGAATTTGCACACTGCGAGCGAAAATCTGCCTTTCTCCATCACACACATTTGATCACTTCATGGTTGTCTGCTTACATGGACAATTAGTCCCTTAAACTGACAATAATGCAGCAGAATGTTTTTATTACCTGGCGGTTCGTTTCGGCATTGTTTTTTTCAATACATTGCAATAACAGATAAACATCTCACATATTCCATCTCATATGAACAACAAATTTTTCTTGTACTGTATCATTTTTGTAACGGCATTGCCCTGGTGTTTTACAACAGAAATTTCGTGTTGCTATCAGATATGTTATCACGGGAAATTTTGCTAAGTTTCCGTTTCATGTATTATTTAATATTATATGTACTTTTGTATAGACATGTAATATTGTAATTAACATTGTATGGACTTTATTTATAAAAAAATGTACTTTGATCTTAAGTGAATCATTCATAGTAGGCAGCTTTGTACTTCAAAGCTCAGAAACTGTTACTTTAAATACATTTTGCAAGTAGTGATTTTTTGTGAACTGTGATTATTAGAAAATATAATTGTAAAATTTCATAACTGAATGCTGTCATTTAATCTTGAATGATGTATAAAGCAATAATCTTCTTTCTTATTTCAGATAAGCGTAATCTTAGACATGGGGCTGCAGCTTTTACTGGGACTTATGGTTGAAGCACCGTATATATTAATAATCACTTCTGTTTCCGCTGACATTGGCACTCACAAGCTAATTCGCAGGGGTCACAGGGCCTTGTCTACTGTTGGAGCCATCATTGAAGGAACAGGAGCAGTGGGAGCCACCGTTAGTCCCCTTCTGATCGGATTATTTTTGATGCGTCTTAAATTTATCTATGTGATGTACTTCACGATCGTTATGGAACTTCTGGCTTGCCTCTGTTTGATTCGCATGGCCTACAAGGATATCCATGAAGAAAGAAGGCGAATGAGTTTAGTGGATTACTGGAATGCTCCAGCATTTACGTGATTTTCAGTTCATTCAAAATTCCTGAGTAGTGTTCCAATGGAATTTTAAATACGCGCATATTGAACAGGATGTATATATAAATTTTTTGAAACTTCATAGTAAACTTTCCCTAATGTGCATCGAAAGAATTAAATGATCCTGTTCATCAAAATAAAAAAAAATAAAAAACTGTTCCAGTCGAAAAGAAAAAAGCATATTCCTTTTTATCGGAAATTAATGAAAAACTATATTGAGAACACGAAAAATTGATTGACAGAAAATGTTGTTAGTATATTTCAAGACTATTATTTTGTTGTATAAGACAATTATTTATAATCATCTCATACTTGTCTACAAAATGTACACCTTTAAAAAAAATGTTCTATACTTTCCGTTCTACTGGACCGATTAAAGAAATTTAACTTACGTTTTTCATGTCTCGAAAGCCCGGCTTAAGATATACATTGCATTTTAATTATAAACATTATTCTAACAGACATTCGAACACACATTTATATATCAGATCAATTTAACTCTCCCCACGTGAAAAAAAATGCGCTATTTTTGCATTAGGAATTTTTTAATTATTTAACAATTTATATCAAATGGACTAATTCTGCATGTGAAGATAAAAAAATCTTTCTATCTTATTCAGCATTAAATTACTGAGATTAATTTTTTCCTTCTTGCTTTTCAATTCTTATTTATTTATTTATCAGTTTTATATCATAACATTTTATGCGTCAATGACATCATTCGTTTTTATGCTTAATAAGGGTAAGAGCGCCACTCCAACTTGAGAACTAATAAAATAATAATGTATTTGCTTATATAATTCTTCCTCTCGTTAATTTCCAATTCCCGTCTTTCTCAGTATATGATTTAGAAACTTTAATTATGGTACCAGCGTAGGAAGTATTGGCAGATGTGAAAGTACGCGCATTGTGTAACTAAAAGAGGACAGTATTGAAAAGCAAGAAATGTAATTAAAATATTGCATACAAACATATCCATTCCTATGTACGTTTTATTCGACTTGTTCTAGTATCTTTAATCCTTCCTCTTAAAAAGGTATTCACCCAGTAATATTCCCATAGTAGTTTTCAAGGGGTAAATATAGAAAAGTAACAAGATGGAGGGGAAATACGCAAGTAATACGACAATTGTCAAAAATTAATTTTTGTTTGGTTTTTATTAAAAATGAAAATGCCAAATGCTTTTGAAATTAAATGCAACGACCGAATTTTGTCATTTGTTATATCTTTTGAGATATATTAAAACAATATTTTGTAAAACTTCTAAAGTAAGGCGTTAAATATTGCGCAGGAAGAGGCACAGAATTGAAGGTCTTTGGAATGAACAAATGTGTACTTATTATGGCAGATATGGCTAGAACTCAGGAAACTAGAAGTCAGGTAGATATCACTAGGCTTTCTGGTGTATATTAATACGAAGCTGTTGAATACAGCAGGGTCAAATTTATAGCATTTGAATTAAGTCCCCTCAGAATATTGCGATATAAAAGTGAAGTGTGTATGTAATGATATGAAAGTGAAGCATATAAATACGAAGTATGATAAAGGAAATAAGAGACTAAGATAGTTCCTTTAACTACAAAACCTGCAAGTTAGTTTCAAAAACTAAAAGAAGTACAGAAGTATAATTTCATCATTGTAGGTATACACAAAGTTAATGAAAAACGATATTTTGTAGAGATTAATAATGAAAACTAAAGGCTGTAAGCATTAACTTTCCGAAATACGATTTCTGTTCCTCCTCTATGCAAATATGACATGCGTGACGTGCCACCTCCTCTGGTAATAAAACCGAGGCACTTAAAAATGCGCAAACGATCGTCGGACATCAGAAATTCATTAAATATTGCCAAATAAAAACTGTAAGCTACACTAAACGAAGATTATTATGATGCATACTGCTGTAAGATGAATTTGGGAGAAACTGTATACTTGTAAGATCAAGTATTTTTAGCTGGCATAAACTGTAACTAGATCTACTTAAAATGTTTGTTTTGCGACTTGTTTCAAAGTTTCGAAGATGAATACAACAAGGGAAGGGTGTAAAGGACCGTTTTATTCAACACACCTTAGTTTACAGACGCCACGGACTTATACAGACACCAACTACTTGTGGTGATGAACTTAAAAGATAAGGTAACAAGTGGTACAGGACTATAAAATTCTATTTAAGCTAAAAGGTTGACTCAGAACCAACACTAGCAAAATAATAACTCGGCGGCAAGAATGCGTAGCCGATGTTAAGGTCAGCAGCTGGAAGAAAATAGCAGTGTGCGCTCACAATAGCGAAATAACGCTCTGTCTAACCTTTTCGCTCCAAAAGTTTAAATACTCTTGTTCATCCTAACTCATTTATATTACGGCGAATAAACGCGAGGGAAATAATAGAAATTCGAAACAATATTTTATCTTTGCTGTTTAGCGGTTACATAATTAGTGAGTAATATTAAAAAGTCACTAGCTGCTTGGAAGGTATAAGTATTAAAAAAAAGAAAAATATACACATGTATAATGATTTTAATGAGTCCAGGTAGTGTAATTCCAACGATCTTGTTGAAATAGTAATTCATAATAATAATAAAGAAGAAGAACTGGATTCATTGCTTTTAAATTTATTAACTTTTTCGTCAATAAAAGACACATTAACTTTGAAAGAAAAATTAAATACGTTTACGGTTTACCGAATGGCGTCCCACTGGCAAGTCAAAGATGAAAATATTTTGTTTACTACAAGTGAAAACACATTTCTTTTAAATCGCTGATCTTGTTAATTAAATTCGAAAGACAAATATATTGCATTTCCTGAGTGGCAACACATTTCTTCGATATCGCAGAGAAAGTTAGAATAGATGGAGTAAGCCTGAGGTTACAAAAATGAAGCCAAGAAAATGTCAGCATCATGACGTCACGATTTATCACGGCCGTCATACAGCGTACGCATAAGACTGCGAAACATATTGTGGCGGCATTGTTTGTAATACTGAAACGCTATTTGTCAAACTCCTTCTTTTTGCGATTTTCATTTTGCTTACGTGAACAGCAAAAATGTTCGAAATGAAAAATAAACATTAGAATTTGTTTTCAAAAAAAAAAAAAAAAAAAAAAAAAAAAAAAGGAAACTCGTTATCATTTGTTTGTTTTATTCCTGTTCTCTCGCTAAAAATTTTATTTAAAAAAGTGTTCTCTATACTGTTAATATATTTCTGCTTAATCAACGAACCTATACATTGTTAAATAAAATTCCAATAACTTTGAGAGCAAGTATCAACGTCCGGAAGCTCAAAAAAGTGTCTTCGAGCATAATTTGCGTTAAATATCGTTAAGACTTTCACTGGTCTTCTAAGTTCTACCATACTATATAGTTACTCTTACCATACTTTCAGGCAAGGAGGTTAGAATAAATGGAGTAAGCCTCCCGTGTATGTCCAGCGCATTGAAAATGAAGCCATGAAACGTCATGGTATGACGTGACGACTTATCATGGCTGTTGCCATAAGCGGATTTCTGGCTGGTTTTGTTTACATTCTAATCGGCGTTGTCTACATGTTAGCTAGTCATCACTGAACGTTTATAAATTCCCCATTCTCATTTTAATACTTAAGCTCAAAGATTGTTTCTTAGAATACAGACAAATCTCAAGGATTACGAATAACTGATTCAAATTTAATAAAATGTAGGTACATGAAAATGTGTAAATAGTAACGATAACATGAATATTTACATGGTAGATCAGGGGAAACTTCAATGGTATTTTATACAAATTTTGTCTAAAGACTCTTTTCTGAGCCTGCGGATGTTGATATTTGCTTTTAAATTAAGGGTAACGTTATTTTACAAAATGTTTCGTAGTGTTACCCGTACGTTGTACGACGGCCATGATAAGTCTTGACGTCACGTTGCTGACATTTCCTTGGCTTCATTTTCATGACGTCAGGCTTACTCTTTCTATTGTAATTTTCCTGTTTTCAAGTACCTAGATTTTATTAAATTTGAAACAGTTATTTGCAGTCCTTGTGATTTTTCTATGTAAAAATCGTTTATGTTAAGTATTAAAATTGGTCGCAGACTTACAAACATTCAATGATGAAAGCTAACATGTAGACAACACCGATTAGAATTTAAACAAAACTAACGAGAAGTCAGCCTGATAAGTCGTGACGTCATATCGTGACATTTCTTGACTTCATTTTCATTGCACGGGACATATGGAGGAGGCTTACTCCATTTATTCTAACTCAAACAAATTCTATTACAACAAGCTCATAAAATAAATTACTCGTAAAATATTCAATTAAAAATTTCACTGGGCTTATTTTAAAAAATAAATCATATTTGCACTGAAATTAAAAGTAGAAAAGAAACATGTTTCATTTTGAATTGTGCTAGCAAGCAATTTAATATTTTTAAAACTTTGCCCAAAATGTAAGGCATATTAACTAAAATCTATATGAAATTTTTGAGTAAAAACAAACTACCTCAGATTCTTCTATGGAGTAGTTTTTGGAATTTATTTATCATAGTTAAAGGATTTATTTGAAATGTCGTTTACTATTGAAATTTTAATAGTCATACACTGATATTAATTTACAGATTGAATCGTAAAGAAGAGTAGCAAGAACTTCTCGTTGAGTTGCAAACAGGTATGTCTTTGACTTCCTTACTTGCAGGTCATAAATATGCCTCCTGTATAGCTTTCTGCTACGTGCATAGAATGAAGATCCATCTTCGTACCTTCAGTGCCTTACATCGAATAAGAAAATATTACACTTTCTTCGATATTGCGTTTCTTGCAACTACTTCTTGTTTTCACTTATGCATAAACCTAAATATGCTACTAGAAGAAACTCTCTCTTTGAAAAGCTTACAGAAGTATACATTTATTTTACTGAAAGCACTTCTTAGGAAGCTTCGTTCTGTATTTCCTATACGCTTAAACGCTAATTATATAAATAGAGATATCAGTGACTCATACAACTTTGCATACTTAGGTAAGATCTGTAAACTTCCTTTTCATAATCTTTTTATCAACTGCAATGATTTTATGAATATGGCAAATATAATTGCTAACAAGATGAACAATTTAATTTACAAGGAAATTGCTGTAATATAAGTTAGAGAATAACCGAGTTTTAAATATTTTTATATTTCTTTACTAAAACTACTATCTCCCCTTAAATTTTTATATATATTCAGATGTAATTTGTTATTGATTATTTGAAATTTCTGAATGTGGAAAGCTAAAATTTAAGATATAAAAATAACACATTTTACAATAATTATTATAATTGGGTTTAAATTTTAATTAAATTTTAGGAAGCAAACATTCGAATTTATCCTAGATTTA